AGAAGATGAGAGAGAAACATCAATCAGCTGCCTCTTGCACACCCCCTATTGGGGATGTGCCTGCAACCAAGGTATATGCCCTTTACCGGAATCGAACCTGAGACCTCTCAGTCTGCAGGCAGAAGCTCTATCCACTGAGCCAAACCGGTTTAGGCATGTCTTTCATTTTTTTTTTTTTCAATAAATACTTCTGGGGAAAAGGTTTTCCATGTCCGATTGACTCCAAATCAGGTGAAATAAAGACAGCCTTGCAAGTGGGGTCTGCACGGAAGCAGGACAAGGGCCACATAATCACAATTCTCTGTGAGCAAGGCTGTGAAGCAGCTCCATCCCCATCCCGCCCCTCTGGAAACCGCTAAGTTAATGGTGTTCAGTGAGAACACAGGCTATTTGTTAAGACTATGATGGGATGGGAAAGGGTAAAATGAGAATAGGGTGAATTAAACCACTACAAAGCTTATTTTTTAAATGAAGATTCAGCTAGTTTTCTTTGGAATAGATGCCTCTTGAGTTGTTGCAAACTACTAATTAATTTCCAGAGTTAAAAAAAAAAATTAATCCCGACAAATTTTTTCCACTTTTGTCATTGATTTTATAAAAAAGAATTTTCAGAGGTTTAAACTGCCATTCTAGCTGATGCCATTCTAGCAAAATGATGTTTGAATTCTATGACTTTGCATTATTTACTGGCATATGTTATATTTCTAGCCAAGAAGCTTGGTTGCCAGTTTATTCAATAGTTATGCCATAGTGAAACAGCAGGTATATTCAAGAATTTTCATAGCAGTATTGTTCAAAAGAGCAAAAATCTGAAAACAACTAAAATGCGCACAGAAAAATTAATAAACAACTTATGGTGTACTAGGGACTACCTTAGAGCAATGAAAATGAATGAATTAGAGCTATGTAAATACATATGGATAAATCATCATAGTATGATTCTAACTGGGGGGAAAGAAATCTCAGAAATAATATTCAATGATACTCCAGTTTTATAAAGGTCTCAACCATATGGTTAAACTATTAAAGAAAGGGAAAGAAATGATTTTTAAAAATATAATAGATTAATGATTTCTCATGGGTCAAAAAGATAGGAATGAAATAAATACTGAGAGAACTTTAATAGTGTTAGTCAAGTAGTATTTCTTAACTTGGATGAAGAACTCAAAAGTATTTATTTTATTATTATGCTTTGTAAGTTATTAATGTAACTTCTGATCTTTTTGTATGTATTAAGTATTTAATAGTAATTAAAAAAAGAAAATCTATACCATTTGAAAGAGGTTGCTTTCCCCCCTTTTTCCCTTATATATTTGTGCTACTTCTGTAAGAAATTAGTTCTACAGTAGTTTAAAGGAAGCAGATGAACAAAAAAAATTTATAGACTTTGCCACTTATTAAATTGTATTCAGAATCTAAAATAGTAACTTGATGTCTCTGAGCTAGTATCCAATTGGTGATCCATATTTTGGCAAATTACATGCAAATGCTGAGCCTATGGGAGGTACTAAATGCAAAGCAGTATTATTATTAGAAACATGACATCACAATATCCATTTAAACATAAAAAAAGATAATAAGCTATAGTTTGTTTTATTTTTAATCCTCACTCTATAAGTGTGTTTTTAATTGATTTGAGAGAGGGAGAGAAGCATTGGTTGGTTGCCTCCTGCACGATCCCCTACCAGAAACGGAAAATTAGTACGGTCTCACAAAATACAGTATTATGAGATACCAATGTTGTTTCATAAAGTTGATTTTCTGGAAGAATGTGATAGAACATGTGAAAACTGAATGTAGATTCAGAAAATGAAAAAAGAAACCTAACGTTTCTTTTTATCTCTCTCATCAGTGGATAACTTACCAATGTGTCCTCAAATAAGCTTCCATATCTTCTTCCTAGATCTGACTGAAGCGACTACAGAGCCAAGAGTGACCACACAGCAGGTCATAGTGGAGTTTGGCACAGGCAGACACTGAGTAATATGCTTGGTTAGCTGGGTTCCTAAGCATAACTCCATACCTCAGGTCTTCACAGTGGCCGCAAATCACTTGCAAACGCTACTTTTGCCAATGGCATTCCCATAGGTCTCCCCAAATGAGTAGCGGCTAAGGGGTTCAGTCTCTTAGCCTGTCAGCAGTGGTGCCTTTGTTATGATCCTGCCTACCTTGGACTTTCAGTTTGGGTTTAACAATCAGAGAGATAAACCAGCTGCAAAATCTGGGATACTCACCAAAGTAAGTTGAAATTAGTTTTCAGATTCTACTACTTGGTATGCTCACAGTGAGTACAACTGGGAACCAGACCCATTTTTCACTTGCAAGTAGCTCAGAATGTCAGCACCACACACTGCCTTCCACAGTGACTGCTGCGCCCTGCTCATACTGCACAAGAACTGGGGCCAAGAGAAGTTAGTGATTTGCCCCAATGACACAGCATATAAGTGGACAAGCCTGGATTAAGATTTTTTCATTCTGAGGCTGGCTCCTTTGTCTTATTCTTTTCTTTTCCTGTTTAAGCATACCTATCGACTTCTCAATGAAGGGGGCGGGGAGAAGCATTTGTATGACTCCTTGTTCTTAACATAAATAGTCAATGTTAGTACAGCTGGTGGTCAGCATGTCCATACTATATGTTGTTGACACTTTATTTGCAGTTGACTATTTTAAATGAATACCTCCTAAAAAGCAGAATTAGGTTTTTGTTCAACAGTCTTCATACATACATTTGGCAACTCTGCATTCTGTGAGCCAATAATTATGAGGATGATTTTGAGTGGAATATGTAGGCCTTCTATTTAACAATGTTTCTGAATTACCGATTAAATTTCCACAAAATCAAAACAATTAGAAATTGTGAATGCTAACATAATGATTTTTCTTTGCTATGAACTATACTCGTGCCAGCACAGTCGTTTAAAAACGAACACTGTGGCTTGGCTGTTTTCTGTCATTTGAATGCTTTTGAAAATAAGACTTTCAAATACTATTCTTTTAAAAAGTCAATTTATCCCAGTGCTACAAGTAACACACTCCAGCAGACAGATTTATTGCTAACGTACTACTGTGAGATGGCAATAAACTTCTCTATATGGCTGAATCCTTTTATATATATATATATATATATATATATATATATATATATATATATATATGTGTGTGTGTGTGTGTGTGTGTGTGTGTGTGTGTGTGTGTGTGTATTAGAGGCCCAGTGCACAAAGTTTGTGCCTGTTGTAGAGGGCCCTCAACCCAGCCTGCACCCTCTCCAATCTGGGACCCTGCCAGCCTGATCATCCTCATCTGCCCTTCCCTGCCAAGATCAGCCTCCTCTGCCGAGATCTGCCTCTCCCCATGAGGCAGCCGAAATGTCCAAATGGCCTCTTCTGCACCATGTAGAGCCGCAGGACTCCTAGGCCTCACAGTGTGGACCGGCCCCTGGGCCCTGCCTCGTCTGTGCACGTGGCCATCTTGTAGTGACATTTTTATTACATAGGACATATATATATTTCAAGGAGAAAGGGAGAAGGAGAAATAGAAACATCAATGATGAGAGAGAATCATTGACTGACTGTCTCTTACATGCCTCCCACAGGAGACCAAGCCTGCAACCTAAACTTGTGACCAGATGGGGAATCACACTATGTCCTCCTGGTTCATAGGTCAATGTTCAACCACTGAGCAACACAGGCCAAGCTCCTTTCCTCTTTTCAATAGCTCATCACCAAAAGTAAAGACTGTGTAGGAAGTAACCTATTAATGGCCTGATGCTAATTATGCCAACTGCCCAGGAGGCATATATGTATTTTAATACAGCCTACTTTGTCAAAATTACATTTTTGTAGATTCTGACTTCCTAAAAAGTTAGAGCAAAGACTTCTGGGAGATATAATTCATTCTAAAATATGCATTCCTAACCTTAATTTTTAATCACAAGTGGAATAGTCCGGTGAAATAGAATAATAATTCATTAGACATAAAGAAAAATAATCCTTGGTAAACACTCAATATACACATGATGAATTATAGAATTATAAACCTGAAACCTATCTAATTTTATTAACCAATATCATCCCATTAAATTCAATTTTTTAAAGAAGAAATAAATAATCCTAATGAGACTTTATTTTAGATTAACAAAGTTCACAGTACCTATGTTGTTGATCACAATATGTTTCCCTTAAACTCCACAATTGCTAAAAATATCAAGTCCATCAGAGCCCAGACTTTGTTACCAAGTGTGTAAACTAGTGTATTAAAAAGCCATGTTAGAGGCAACGAAATTTACTGGGCAACTGCATTCAAGATGCATAGCATACCTTTAAATAGCACTGTGAAAATACCAAATAAAATGTCAGCATCTGTCAGGTCTCGGGTTTTTATAAATTGTTTAGACTGGGAATGGTAGGGTTTGGACATTGTTCTTTTCATATGATGTAGAAAAGAAGAGACCATAAAAAAGAAAAGAACAATAAAGCGTAGCTCATTTTTGAAGTTCTTTCGTGGAAAAACATACTCTGGATCATTACCCTTCTAATCAACAATTTCCTTCTTCCTCCCAATCCTTCCCTTCTGGTATTTACCTTTCTCCACCATCCCCCCTTCTCTCTGGGTGGTATTTTGAGCTTATACATAGTACTCAGTAATCAGATTTTTTAAATCACTTCAAAAGAAAATCCCAGGAGGGCAGAACAGATATGTATAGACGAGGTATTTTTAACCTGGGCCACAGCTTTACTCACCATTTCTATGCTCTTAAAAACACACCAGTGTGCCCTGAACCGCAGAGCTTCCCTGAGGACAGGAAGGCCCTTGGAGCTGGATCAGCTACTCCCTACCTACTCTCTAGCTGTTATCACACCTCAGTGGCCATCTCCCTGCCCTCTTCCCTCTGCCCCTTTCCTTTTACGACCACACCACACTCCCCACAATTCCCAAACAACAACATCTCTGTTTCAGCTTCTTCTCTGAATTTCCCACACTTAATGCAACCCAGACCTCACCTTCAGCTCTCCTGAGGCCACTTTGGAAGCCAGCTCGATGACACAGCCAACAGCCATGCGTGCAGCCCCGGACGAGTGCAGCTCATTCCAAATGGTGTCACTGTCCACCTGAGCAAACAGTCCGCGAAGCCCACAGAAGAAGCGAGGGAGAAGGAGAAGGAGTAGATGAAAGTGGAAGGGAGGGGGAGGGGGTGGGGAGAAGGGGAGAGAGAAAGAAAGCAAATTCGTGAGGAAGGGCTGGCACAGTAACAGCCTATGTACAATAACATTAGTCTTCCGTCTTGGCCAGCTGAAAAGGCCTTCTGGACACAGCTTTGCTTATATTTTCTCTCTGCACTGAATTCTCCAATGGAAACACATTCCTGCCATGCCTCACTGCCATTCCCTGTTTAGATTTCTCATTACAAACAGCATTACATAGGCTAGATCTGGCGTCGTTACAGGCCTGCTAGAAACCAGGCCCCCGTTGTAGATAGAGTAAAAGCTAAGAGCACTTAGCTATACATAAAAATCGGATTTGCAAGTGCCAGAGGGGGAAAACTCAAGTACCTTTCTGGCTGTAGGTTTACAAAGAGCCAAAGACAATTATTAGGCAGGTAGCAATAGCAATCAGTGAGTAGGAAGTAGTAACCACAGTAGGTTCTCCAACCAACAGAAGGTGTGTGGTCCTCACACTTAAAATATTCAGCGTTCAAAAGCAGGGGGCAATCTGTTTTTCCAAAGTGTAAGGTTAAATTTTCTAATATTTAGTACAGTTTGGCAGTTGGTCTTAGTGCAAATGGTTTTATTGAAATTGGAGAGGCCATTAAAATCCATGGTTGCTTGTATTCTAGAAAACATTGTTATCAAAAGCATGAACCAATATTTTGAACTGTCTACTATAAAATGATGTGCAGTAAGGGAAAGGACAAGAAAAATGCAATAGCTGTAGTTTATAATTATCATCTATGATACAGTTTTATGTACAAAATATTTCCTATTATAAAAGATAATAGTATCAAATGGCAGAGATACTTGAAGACTATGTAATACAATATAGTTTATGTGACTATTTAAATGTTAAGACTTCTCAAACATGTCAAAAAAGGGAAATCCTACACAAAATGAAGATATTTATAAAGAATTAGAGAGACTTAATGATATAAATAAATAGCAATACATATTCACAATGCCTTAAGCAGCTTTCTGGGCATTTTTTCACATGCCTTTTCTCAGGAGAAACTTACCAACCTCAACTCTGTCAAGAATGGTGGATACATAAATAATAAATGAGAATAATAAATATAGAAACAAATAGAAAATTCAGATCCTCTCAATAACAGTAGAGTGGAGAAGATAGAGGTTTCTGGAGTTAAACTGTCTGGGTGAAATCATGGCGAACATAAACCTGAATGACATTGGGAAATTAATTAATGAATGTCTCTGTGCTGTGGTTTTCTTACCAGTGAAATGGCAACTTTTTAAAGCACCATCAGCATATGACTTAGGTGAGGATTCAATAAGCAAGTGGTAAGCAAATGTTAGCTGCTACTATTTCGGCTACCATTACACTCATTTTGTAATGCCACACACGTGTTTACTGAATGAGCACACTGTGGCTTAGAGAAGGCCTCAGCAGGCCCAAGCACCCTCACACAGACCTCTGACCCTACAGCCCCTTCATCCTAACACGCCTTGCTTTCGAAGAACATTCAGCCCATGTCCTAGTCAACAACTTCCGGGTCAATGCTATCAGCTAAAAAGTGAAGAGATCATCAAATGGACATTGAAACTTAATCATTTGTCCTCAATTTGAAAGTTTCATTTTTTTTATTTTTTATTTTTTCTGAATCTATATAAGTATTATTTGAGCTTCATGTGGATTTAGCTTACCTTGAAGTAAAAAACAACATTTGCATGGCATTGTACAGTTTTTAACAAATTTCCAACTGTTAATAGAGCTACAGGTGTCATAAAAAGTTCTCATTAATCTGACTTAAAATTATTTGTAAGGAAAAGCAAACATAAAACAAATCAATAAGCCAAAATGACAATGGTAACTCAAAACCACAAATAATTCCTAAACCTTTTTTACTTGACATTGGAATACACTTTAAGTTTTCTTTTCTTTTTTTAAGTAGTAAAAAATTTCCTTCCAAAAAAATTATAAATATTACACTTGATTAGAAAAATATTGCAACAGCTGAGAACAATGTATGTTTAACCATAATAATAAGGAACATTAGATAGCCACACATAGGTTTATCTGACATCCACTTTCCTGTTTATATATTTCTTTCTTCCTGAAAGTATCCCTGGAGAGATAATACTCTCTGCCATCAATTTTTGTGTATAAACCTTTATTCATAAAATTTTTCATATTTTTAAAAATTCAGCTAACACTTGTTGGGTATCTACTATGTAACGAGTGCTAAGGGTTACAGTATGGAGTTTACTTTTCTAACAGGATAAAACGTTATTGACTGAAAAAGTGTGGGGCACATAGATGCTCAATGGATGCTTGAGGTTTTGACTACATCCAAAGTTTATGCTTATCCCTAAACAGCTTCTCTTTAGGAATCTATGGGATTTGTCATCCATTTATTTATATACTAGAGGCCTGGTGCACGAAATTTGTGCACAGGTGGGGTCCCTAGGCATGGCCAGCGATCAGGGCCAATGGGGGCTTCTGGCTGCCAGCCTGGGCCTTCCCTCCCATGGCCCCTCCCCCAGGCTGGAGCCTGCCAGATAGGGGGAAGGACCGTGGGAGGTCAGCTGGCATGGGTAAGGATTAGGGGAAGTTGGCCAGTCCCAGGAGGTTGGCTGTGGGAGCGCACTAACCACCAGGGGGCAGCTCCTATGTTGAGCATCTGCCTCCTGGTGGTCAGTGTTCATCATAGCGACTACTCATTCAGGTTGTTCAGCATTCCAATCACTTAGGCTTTGATATAGATAGATATTTAACATAGAAACATTTATCTAAATACCATTTCAATGTATGTTTTATGAGTATTTAACATAACTAAATGGCAATAATGATCAAGGTTTGTGAATGAAATATATTCAGTAATGGTAACTCTATTCAATTATTAATTTATGAACAGGTTTATATGAGCTCAAGCTGCCATAACAAAATATCATTGACTTAAACAATAGAAATCTACTTCTCACAGTTCTGGAGGATAGAAAGTCCAACATCAGATTGCCAGAATTTAATTCTCTTCCTGGCTTGCACATGGCTGCCTCCTCACCATGTCCTCACATGGCCTTTTTGCTGTGAGTGCAAGTAAAGAGACACAGCTCTCTTTTCCTCTTCTTATTAGGCCATCAATCCTATAAAATTAGGACCCTATCCTTATTACCTTAATTAACATTAATTCTCTTCTGAAAGTCCTAGCAAAGGCAATCACATCTGGGGTTAGGGCTTCAACATATAAATTTGGGGGAACACAATGCAGTTCAGAGCAAAGTTATATCCCCAAAGCTTGTTTATAAATCAAATTATAAGCATATTTCCCTAAGACATCGTGTTCCAAATGGTGTTTCAGGGCCAACAGTTACCAAAAGCTAACCACGTGTATTTGCCATGCTACAATTTAATAATAGCTCACAAGGTTTTTTAAAAAAGGTTCTAGAACCTTTGTTGCTAAAAGATATTCTCAAATCTACTTTCTGCTATATTCAATGGTAAAATGTATTTCTCCTCCCCTTATATGCCTCTTATTGCTGTAGAGATTTCCAAAAACCTTTGCCTATATTAGTGTCAGTGTCAAGAAGAAAATCATTTGAGAGCTCCAATTCCAACTGTTGCCAAGTTTTTCTGTCAGTAAGAGAAAAACACACACACAAAACTAGGTAAGAGAGGATGATTGCCTCCATCGACTGATAGTGGTTCCTGGCATGGAATGGGATCTTAACAAGATGGAAAGAGCAAGAAAGACTCCACTCAGATGAACACATAAAAATAGGCTTAAGAGTCTGCGGCAGCAGTACAATAATGGTGGAAGTAGAGACCAGAAGGACTTAGAACTGCAAGAAGACAGGTGCTCCAGCATTTGGAAGTTGAAAGTAGAGATATTAAGGGAGTGCCACAGAGTTGGCTCTGGATATGGAAAATAATGTAAATTGCAATACTTTAGGCCAAGAAAGGGGAAAGAAATCATAGTGGAGCAGAATGCAATCCTGCTGACTACTCTAGCTGGTTACTAAGACCTTGCTATAGTTGTTAAGACATGCAAGACAAATTCTTAAAGCCAGAACGACTATAATTTGAAGAAAAAAAAAATCTATGTGCTTTTATCTTTTTTTTTTTTCTATGCACCACATTTACTTCTCTTTAATCTGTCTGCTGGTTCATTCTTCTGCCTGATTAGTCTGTATGTGTGTATACACACATGTAAGTGTGCATTATGGGGAAATGGTTCATGAGCTGAAAGGGAGATTAGGATTGATATAAAAGAAAAATAAAGAAATTAACACTTGAAAAAGTATTTTGTATCGATGCACCTAAAAATCCAGGTCTTGTGATGAAAGAGAATTTCCCCCTTCAAATCCTTTATATATTATGAACTAAGCCTAGAGACCTCAGAATATAGCCCTGTGCTAGTGATAGCATCAAGACAATGCTTCTCCAAATGGTAGTTTAGAGAAAGAGACTCTTTCTATCTATGACAACCAGGTACAGGTGCTGATCTAGGCTCTAGACAGGATGTGACTAGAGGAAGAAAGAGCCAAAAGCCATCTCTCTGGTCCTGAGAGACTGGAAAAAGGCAAAGCAAAAAGGTGCAGTGAAAACAGGGGGAGCAGAGAGTGATAAAAGAGCAATCCCAGTAAGAGGAAATTGTGTTAGGTAAACTGATTAAATAATAAGCAAGTTGTTGCTCCTATTTATACCTAGACCTTGAAGTCCATGTATACACTAAACTTCCAGCATCACAAAAAAAGTCTTGGGGCAATGTAAGTGGAAGGTCAGGCCGAAGCACTCTGAAGATGCTCACTTGTCCTGTGTGGTATGAATGGAAGCCTCAAGTTCCCATAATCCTCTAGGGCAGTGTTCAGCAAACTCATTAGTCAACAGAGCCAAATATCAACAGTACAACGACTAAAATTTCTTGTGAGAGTCAAAATTC